GAAGCTCAGCTCGCGGTGGGGAAGACGTAAACCGGCTTCTTAGCGTGGCTTTCGGGGGGTTAAGACCAGGCAAGGGGTCTGACTTCTTCCTCCGGTCCAGTGTGGAGCTGGTCTTTTGTGAAATCTGCTGTTGGAAGGTTGTAAATGCTAATGAAGTGTGCGTTGAAGCAGCTTGATTTTCCACCTCCCGCTTAGAATGAATCTTAATTTTTGTACTTACTGAGCTTCTGCTTTTGTATGTAGTTGCATGTAAAGAAATCAATAAGGGAATAACCGAGAGCTGCGTTGAAATCCTGTACCCTGGTGCTAAGTTAACATTGCCATTTGAAAAGCATGTGTCTCAGCCTTCAAGGTTCCCAAACATCAAGGTTAAGTATGGGTTTAAGTGGGAAGGGACAGTAAGGAAGGAGTAAGTTTCACTGAAACATGTTCGAGAGCATATTCAGCGATACAGCACACCTCTGAACCTGCTCTAGAACTAATTCTAAATGACGTATCCTCTCTGAAAGTAAGACTGATACGTTTGCTCTTGTCAGGAAGTTCACAGAGACCGTTCCTGTCCATAAATGTTTTCTTAAAAAAAAAAAAATCAAGAAGTTTTCTTAACCTGTTACTTTTCCTCTGTTTTGAAGGTAATCAGAGTAACAGGTTTTATGAAAGGACTTTACACGGATTTTGAATTGAAATCAGATAACGTTAAGGTGGGTATTAAACTTCCTTATTTATTGGGTTTTAATATTAAGATTCTTTCAAACCTGCCACAAGGTATTTTTCATCATTTCTGTGTTCAATTTCAAGTGATTGTCTTTAATTTAACATTGTGAAGAAATAGTAGGAGGTATTGCATATTGGTTATCTTATGTAGTGCCTAAGGAGAATACCTACAGATTCCATTCATGGAATGTCTGTGTAAAAGAACTGTTTCTATACAGATCTTGAAACAGTGAGATCTAATCTATGACGAGATCTAGATTTTCAAAGTATTATTGTATTACAGATAATAATAATCATGTAATAAGATTGCGTTGAGGTAAATAGCCACTGATAATAAAATCACAGATGCTAAAAATCCATGCACAGCTCTTCTAAGAGACTGGTGGTCTCTCTACAGAATGTGTGTTTTCAGATTTATTACTTAAAATATATATATATTTATATACATGCACATATATATATGCATACACAATAAATATTCTTGCTTAATATTGCAGGACTTTCTGAAGTGCTCATGTGGTGTATACAATCTATAATAATTTTATTGCTATCTACCAATACCTAATTAATGAAAGAGGAGGTTAATGTTATTAATGAAAAATATTTTTGTTCCTTACAAGAGTGATTCTTGTCTGTGTTTGCTCTTCCTCTGCTGTCTGCCTCTCTGCTCCGCCAGGGATGCTGACTTCTCCAACTACAGGCTTGATTCAAAGCTAGATTGTCATTTGAGTTTCTAATTCATGGCAAATAATGTAGTTCCTAGTTAGAAAGCTATGTCCACTGCAAATTGTTTAGTGTAGCAACTACAAATACAAGGTCTATGAGCCTGGCTTATCTGGTATAGAGATCTGTATACAACCAGTGGCGTAGCTGGTTTGTGCAATTCGTGCAGATAATTACTAGTCTGATGTGTACATTTATTTCTGTGGATGTTCATACTGTTATTTGAATTGCTAACATCTAAATTAGTTATACCAGAGACTTATACATGTGTATGTATTTGGTACTTTCCCTGCTGAAGCTTGTTAGTAGTTCTGTGATGAAGAGCAGCAAAGTACTCTTGTTTGGAGAGCCCTGTGCATTTTTTTGTTTTGTGAACTGAAAAAAACAGATTTCCTAGCAACTCTAAAGTAGATCTTTGCTTCTGTATTTGCATTCTGTCACATCTGTGAAGTTGCATGAACCTCTTGAGCACTTCTCTGAGAATTTCTTCCGCGGTCCATGCTATCATAGTTTTCATGAGTTCAGGTAGAGGAGATCAAAATGCTGCAATGCTGGGAAAACAGCTATAGTTTGTGTTCCCCTTTTCGAAACACAGGTCAGGGGGAAGACTCTGTGCTCACAAGATGCTTTGTTAGCATAATTTCTGTTGGAGTTTTAGAAAATCAGGAGAGTGATCTTTTTATGGCAGGAAAAGGGGGAGGAATCTTTTTGTGGAGACCAGAGCTACCTGCAGAGAGTTAGAGACAACAGCGGAGAGTTAGAGTCCATGTTGTGAATAGCTGTATATATTTCCATGCAAAGGTGATCTGCTTTAGGTAACACCAAGGGATGGTACTCATCTGGTGTGAGGATCTCGGCGATGGGTACATAGACTTGGAATGGGCAGGATGCTCTCAGAAAAAGGAGAGGTCTGTACCCAGTCCTGATGCTGTAGTCCAGAGTTCTTGCCGTGGGAGGAGAAAATTGGCAGTTGTTCTTTGGAAGCTGGTTGTGTGGTGCAGTTGCAGATCACTAGAAGCATAGTCTGCAGCTAAGAAAGTCCAAAGCCATCGTGGTGCTCCTGGTCTGACCTCTGTGGCTGTTGAGACAGCCTCCTGTTTTGCAAATTCCCTTATGATCTACAGATAGTGTCATGCATCTGTATGTGCTGCAAGAGGCTTGTTTCTGGTTTCAGCTTACCTCTCCTGCATGGACATAGTAGTGGGTTTTTAAACTCCCAAGAATCCAGCGTTTCTTCTGGGCTACCTTTTGTGGCTCCACTGTTAGGATAATGCATAGTGCTTGGATGCTAGGTCAGGCTTTGTCATGACCTCACCTCCTAGGTAAGAAAGAGTTGAGAGGCAGGCTGCAAGCATGCCATGAGCCAGATCTAGCCTGCAGAGCGTTCCGGTGGTCCTCATGGAGTTGCAGTTAGTTTCAGGGTTGTATAGGCAAAGCAAATAGTGTGTCAGTCATGAGGAGAATTTAAAGTGTGAGGATTTCTGAATTGTTGGGACTCCTGGAACAAATGCACCTTTTACTACTGACTGCGCAGTTAATAGTTACAGTACAATACTGTGCAGTAACTCTACAGTATTGCTGTCTTTGTGTTTAGCAGAATAGTTTGTTGTTAGGTCTAGTAAAAATTTGTCCTCCTATAAATGGGAAGATTGGATGTCAGGCTTGCTAATTTTGTCTTTCATGTCACCTTTATTTAAGGGGAAAAAAAACAAACAAAAAAAAGACCGACCACAAAGAATAGCGTGGATACCTTTGTTTAATAGAAAAGAGCCGTTACTTTGGATCACCTTTATTTGAAAATGTGCTTAATTTGGAAGGGTGTCCTGTCTCCTTCCCTAAATTAATAGATTGCATATGTCCATGAAAGGATAGACAATTATTATAATAGGAGGAGGTTGCAGTATTTCCTTCCTTTTACTATTTTGCTTTCGTATGCAGGGAGCACTGGTGAGGGTGAAGTGCACTTGATGTTAATGGAGACAATCTCAAAATCCTAGCTCTGTAGCAGTTGTTTATTTGAATCTGTTCAGAAGAGTGAAAGATGTATGTAAAGATGGAAGTACCCTGACTCTGGAGATTATCTTCCCACGTGTTTAATTATCATTCGCATGTTTGCAGCAGAACCCAACTTTTGTTTATGGATTGGCCTTGGGACTTGAGGTATCACATAGACTGTTCTGTTAACCTCCAATGCTGTAGGAATAGATAATGCTACCAGATGGCCTTTAAAGATTATTGACCTTGTTCAGCTAAAGTCATATTCTCTTCTTTTACTTCCCTTTGTATTGGTACCTCTGCCAAAGTAGATCCAGAGTGATCTGGGTACCTGAGATACCCAGACAGTAAGTGCAGTACAAAATCAGGTGTGTTATTGGATAATTATGACTACTCACTTTTCTAAAGTAACTGAAGTGCCAGTGTTCTGGTTTTCAGTTATCAGTTTGAATGCTGTAATTTATATTCTTTTGAAAAGACTTCTATGAAAATACACATACGAAATTTTTCTCACATAGGTTTACTTTTTAAAGGTAAAATACCTTCTTTTCCTTCACTGCTTGTAGTAAAGGATGAGTAAGTAGACTCCTGTGCTGGGACTGGTTAAAATTCCATGAGTGTTACGATGTTTCATTAATTAAAAAACCTTTTTTTTTTCTGCAAGTATTCTACAGCTGCAGAGACTTTGCATCATGATTTCATTCTCTGTGCAGGGAATCCCTCAGTAATATTTCACTTAGGTGGTAAAATCAACCTGGGGGTTGTGAGATGTTGTTGCTGTTTTTGTTTTATTTTGTTTTTAATGATTTTACATAATCACCAAAAGCCATCTTCTTTCTTGGAGGGTAATTGGGGCAAGTTGTTGGCAAAGTGTAATTTTAAAACTAAAGCATATCTGGTAATATGTGCCTGTCCCTATTTCTCACCATCCTTTGTATGTTTTCTTTACTCACTGTTAAGTCTGGTTTACAAAGTGCAAATATAAGCATGCAAGTACCACGGTTTAGAATCATATAAGTCCTGTAGCGCTGGGATATCTGCGTTGAAAAATACTCTGCGCAAGAACTGTTTCTTTGAGCAATATCTGCAATAACAATCCTGCTGGAACTTTTAGAGATTCTTTTGGAGATATTTGAATGAATCTTTAAACAAAACTTAAGGTACTTTGATATGTGATCCTTGAAAGCAGAATGCTGGAAGTCTTATAGTGATCTTAATGTACTGAAAAGAAATAATAAACATATTAAACAAGATATGAAGTTATACTTTTAATTTGGCCATTCCAGCTCAATATACATCCATTATCAAAGCTGTAATTTCTTAATCAGAAATAAGTAGCTAACTATAAAGCAGAGGTAGTAGCCAGCTTTCCTGACCCTACACATCACATGCCAAAATCTTCACCTGGCTGACAACCTCTGAATGTGTGGCACAGCTTGGAGGGTCAAAAAGAGGTGCAGAGATTTCAGGAACAGAACTTGTCCTTCATTCCTGGCTCAGTCCTTTACTCCAGTCTCAGAAGTTGGTCTCAGAAGAGATCCTTCCTTCCACTCTGAGGCAGTGCTAGGCTGGGCTTGCAGCAACCCAGGGAGGCTGACAAAGCAGCTCCTGATGGTTTACCCTCCAGCTTGCACAAGTGACAAAGCCTGCTCATGAGCCACAGTTTGGCTACTGCTGTTATAAACGCTTTCTGCAAACAGTCCTCACAGCAGAAGATTCCTAGCTTGTAGGTGAGCTATTTTAAAGTATTAGTATTCTTTCTTAATTACTTTTTTACCAGGATAAAGACGCCAAAATCAGCTTTCTTCAGAAGGCAATTGATGCTGTTGTACTGGTAACAGGAGAGCCACTGTCAGTAAAACCAGCACGTGTTGTAGCTGGACATGAACCTGAAAAAACCAACGAATTACTTCAAGCGATTGGGAAGTGTTGCTTAAATAAGGTATGAGGTCACTATTAAGATGTCTCTACTTACAGTCATGTCCTTATTGAGCTGTCTTATGTATTACCAGAGCTCAGTGTGTGACAGACTATGTTGACACTCATCCACTCTTTTTTATTAACACAAGGTAGGTTATGTTGGGTCAGCAGTTACAATAATAACAGATATATAGTACCTGATCCTTAGCAGAGTTTAAGCTGAGTCCTCGCACAAATACGTTTGGAAAAGATGATTGCTTTTAATTTCTACTATTTTCTAATTTTTACCTTATTCACTGGTCATGTAATACAACTTACTAAGTTTGAGGCAAATACGACGTTTCAGAATTTTCAACTTTTAAATACAAATACATTAATTATGCATCCTCATGTGAAGAGATGCTGCTACCTTTGATTGATTTTTCTCAAATCTTTAATTCTTTAACGGAAGTATTTTTTTCAGTGATGTGCCTTTTTTATGAATACAAAAATGCAGCAAAGGAGAAATTTGATAACCTGTTCTGTGTAACCTCAGAGGCTTATCGTTCTTAAAATAATTGTTGAATTAAAGATCACAGAATCGTTTAGGTTGGAAGGGACCTCTGGAGATCATCTAGTCCAACCTCCCTGCTCAAGCAGGGTCACCTAGAGCATATTGCCCAGGATCACATCCAGGCGGGTTTTGAATATCTCCAGC